ATAAACTTGAATCTCATTTTGTATACATTTTTATCAATAACTGGAAAAAATATTTTTAATGTAGACAACTCTTCTCCGGAAATGATTCCTCTGAACATTTTGGCCGTTGCAATCAATACGCTCTTTTCGTGTTAAGGAAACCTAATGAAATCACTCTCTTGAGTCATCCACGCACAAAGCAATGATTTTGGTGATAGGTATGTCAATTTTCGTTGATCTCTCGCTGTTAATCGTTTTCAACCAATCATAAAAAAAAACTTGTTTTTCTTGAGGGCACAATGATTGCTGGAGCTGTAATGAGGTATATGTCGATTGCAGCTTGGCTAATTTTTGAAATATAAGTTTTCAACACAAGGACAGCACAAATCATCTAGGTTTCAACCTTTCGGTCCGATTACTTGGCCAAAAATTCTGTTTTTTCTTTTCCTTTAGCGTAAAAAAACGGCACTGGGATTTCTCAACACAAAACTCTGAAGTCTTTGATTCAAGTTTATATGAAGGTAATCACCATTTTTCCGATGGAGACCGTGTAAATAATTTGTTAACCAGTTTCAAGCTTTTTGTTCGAGCTTTGGTAGTATATTGAAAATCACTGGAGGTAAAAAAAATGAGTCAGTCGCTGTAGTTTGGAATTTTTATTGCTAATTTTTTAACCATAAAAAGTGTTTTTCTTGTAACGAAAGCCTTCCCGAAAGCACAACTGATCTCTCGCTTAGTATTCTAGGAAATGATAAATTTTTGGTTTTTTCAACCTAATGAATACGCATAAAACTGTTTCACTAAATTGTCCCAGTAAACTGTTGTTACAGTTCCAGGGCAACATGTAACAGTACGTGGGACCCTGTTGGTAAAACGCGTGTAAAAATCCGGCCGCATCGTGCAAAATAGCGTGCATTCGTAAAATTTTTTTGAATTTTTTTTGTATTTATCTAAGCAAGAGTTATCAATACCATCAAGCCACCATAAAGTCTCAACTTGATCAAAATGTCGTAGTTAAGATTGCCAGGACTAACAAACAACATAAAACATGCAGCTAGAAAACAAATTCGTCGGTTAGAATTATCAAGATAATTTTGTATCAAAGACGTATAAATTTCGTGAATTATTTTTGAATGAAAAAGAGTTACTTTGCTTTTTCTTTAATTTCATTGTTTATTTTTTACAAAACCTCTCCAACCTGCTGAGTTTTAAGCCATTGGAACTAACAGTGACCTTGCGGATACCATTTAGACTCATTAAGATATCCGTGGCAAATAATCAAAGTAACCAACGGACGTTTTTTTTTATTTCGATAGCTTGTTGAAACAAAGACAGATTTTTCTCTCCAAGTCTTTATTAACCCATTTTGAGTTAAAATCAAACGAATAGTTGACTACGTTTTCCTAATCAGCAATATTTAAATTGCTCACAAAAGCATATTTTTGTTTTGTAGAAATGCATCAAGAGATTTGTTGAAATTTACACCGGCTTATTTTAGTCGTCCAATGTCAAAAAATAACTATTTCAAACTTTCAGTCGTCTCACAAGGTCCAAAATTTTATGAACAAATGAAAACATAATATTAAAAAAATGCCTAACAATTAACAATTGTAGTAATCATTTAGAATGGATTTTTATAGTCCAACTTGATAGTCCAACTTGTTAAATTGATAGTTTGAATTTATAAACTTTTTTCTGAGAATTTAATTCCATTTTAATTGAGTATAATAAAGAATCAATACTTTTTTATTGCTTTTTACATTAAAATCCTAAGCCAAAATTTGAAACTTTGTTTTCTCATTGCCTTTGTTTTTCAATTAAAATCAATTTTTCATTTTTAATATCTCTTGGCTTCCTTTTTTCGCCAATCACCATTTTACCCCGTTATTTGTCAAACTAAGTCATTCTTACCAAGTTCAAGTTCCTTGTAAGATTTCAAACTGCTCTATCACACGGGCCACCAAGTCAATATTTTAAAGAAAAACTTGGAAAGTTTTTGAGCAGTTTGAGTGGAACCGGCTACACAAAAACGCTTTTTTTCGTTAATATTCTAAACTTAGTTTTGTTAGTTTGTTTTCTCAATCAGTTGGTTTTTTACTTAAATTCAAATTTTTGCTCTTTATTTTTTTGGCTTCATTTCCTTAGCCATCCCCCTTTTACCCCGTAGTTTTTCAAAACAAATTTTTTTTTTCGGAAAAGAAATTTTTAGTTTTTCTTTTTTACCAAAATTTTTAAGCAGCAAAATTCACAGTTTTCCAAACAATAGTAGAGTTTTTTGGATTTCGTGAAGAAAACAATGTCAACTATTCAGAAAAATTTTTAGAATAAAAATGATTATAAAAGGTGTTAAAAATAATCGGTTATATTGAACAATGTAAACCATCACATTCTCTAAATTTGCCTCAATTGTCCGTTCCTTGTTAAAAATTTAGTCAATAAAAATTTTTTTAAATCGATTTTTGTTAAAATTTGGTTCGATACCTTTCATTGTTTGCGTAGTTTTCAGGGAAAAAGATTGTTCTACAAAATTCTCAAGGTGAGAGAGAAGTTTTGAGAATTCCCATAAATTAAAAAATTTACTCATTTATCGTCTCTTTTTTGATCGAGGCTAATCAAATGTTTTGTTCAAAAATTGTGTTTACAATTTTCAATTTTGTATAATTTTTTGGTTAATTAAAGCTGAACCCCATTTTAGGAGAGGTCCCCTGCACATATTTAATTAACCAAAAAAAAATAAGAAAAATTGAACATAAAATTGTAAACAAAGTTTTTGAACAATACATTTGATTAGCCTAGAACAAAAAAGGAAACAGATAATGTTTATTTTTGTTTACTTTTGTTAAAATTGTTTTGTTATAACCCTAGCGTTTGGTATTCACAAATACGAAAAAAAATGAGCTAAAAGTTTAAGCCAAAAGTCTAAGCCAAGGTAGGTGCCTTGCGTTCATTTGCTCCATCGTTGTACTGTATAAAATAGACAAAAGTAGTTCTGAAAAGAAGAGGATATTTTTTTCTGATGTGCTCTGGATGGAGAATTAAATGTTGTTCTGTCTTTCTTTCTTTCTTACTGTCTTTCCTTCTTTCCTTTTTTCTTCCTTTTTTCCTTATTTCTTTCCTTGTTGTAATGTGAGCGCACGAAAGTTTCAGTGAGGACTTGGCGGACAACATTTAGTTGTTGTGGTCATTCAGAATACCGGGAATTAGCCGTAGACTTAGGACTGCATCACAGCGTTGAGAAACAGATTTGTGCAAAATATTAACAGCTGCAATTAAACACCTATTAACTAGTATGATTTTAAGTCCTTTAGAATACTAAGTGACTTAAAATCACACTTTTTAACAGGTGCATAATGGATGCTGTAAAGATTTGCACAAACCTTTTTCTCAACGCTGTAATTATTATAATTATTATTATGATTATTAAAAGGAATTTATGTAACGAAGGTTACAAAGGGGTTTCCCCCAGATACAAATTTACAGAAAAACGACAACCGTTCTTAGTACACACACAAGTTAGCTTCCAGGAGCACGAAACTTTCTCATTGTATTTTTCACTAAAGAAGCACCAGAGAAAACTAATAAGTCTTCCTTTAAGACCAATGGGATTGAAGAAATCTATCGCTGTAGGAAGTTTGTTCAATTGGTATCTCCTTTTGATAGACGAGAACGCTCAACATTGAATTCATATTTATTTTGTCTGAAGTTCTTTCTGTATGCCAGATGTGCAGAAGAATCAAAAACAAAGCAAATTTGTGAGTTGCAAATAAAGTGAAACAGGGAGAAGGTTGAGAAATAAAAGACGCTCCTTATAATTTTCACAATGCGGGAGAATCCACCTCGTTTCTCGCATCTGAACTGCTTCGAGATTTCTCATTGACCGGACCGAGACGTGCCAGCAACAACTCGCATACATCATAATGGGCAGCACCATTGTTTTTTATAGATGGCGTTTACTTTGCAGTCCTAAGTTAATTTTTGAGACGTTTTCTTATGATCGATTCAATGTTGACGAAAACTTTTACGGTAACTTTTCGTATTTGTGAACACCAAACGCCAAAGTTGTTTAAAAAAATTTATAGAAAATTATTTTATGGAAAAAGTGTTTTTTTTCTGGTAAGCTAATATAAATACAAACAAGACTTCTCAAATCAGGACGAAACCCCGAATGTTTCGACTGCCTTTTAAGATCCATGGAGCAGTAATAACATAAAAATTAAAGGTATTGAAATCAAAATGAAAAGTTTTTGTATATTAGTTTTCTTAGTGGAAATCATCCCCCCACATGCCATTTGAAGTATAAAGTGATAATTTTTGCTCCTAGTAACAAATCCTTTATTGCAAATAAGAGTCCTTCAACTAATTTGGAACGATTTCTAAGACGGATTAAATCTTAGATGAATAATAAATTAATAGCGCTAAAACGTGCGTTAATTGTCCCAAATCGGCTAAAATGACATAATTGTCATAGGTGAAATATCTTTCCAAGTTTAAGCTCAGAACAACAATACTTTTTGAATGATATGTAAAAAATTTTACAAAAAAGGCTAGTTAAAAAGTCGAAATTTGTCTGAAGAAAAAAAAATCCACACGAGCATAAATGTTCTATTATTTTCGTATTGAAAGTGGGAACAATAACTCCGTCTTTGTCAACTTGTGTTATATTGTTCACAAAGAGGCTTCGCATCAACAAATTGCATTTTTCTTTTTTTAAAAACCTTTGACAAAAAGTATTTGATAATTTTTTTGAAAGTCTTCGGAATTAAATTCATTTTTTCGAACTTGTCAGGTAAACTAGTAGAAAACATATTAATATAAAACTTTTTTTCTAGGATTCTGCTGAATTCTGCACTTGGCTACCACTTGCTCTCTTGACTACGAAAAATAACCCTTAAGTTTTGTAACAAAATTTTTGTGGTATTTTTCTGCTGGGACAATTTTTACCAAGGAGCGTGTTCTGTCAATTTGACAGTTTTAAAAATTTGTCGTTTTTTTGATCAATAGTGTCTTATATCTTTTTGCAGGTAGGAAAACAGGAGAAGTTCTGGGGGTGATTGACAGGGGCAAGTCGGGTCTATCACTGCTGCTGAACTATCTACTGTTCAACATTGTTCCCGGGTTCGTGGACATAGTGGTGGCGATAGTGTACTTTGCAGTCGCCTTCAATATCAAGTTCGGCCTTATTGTATCGACATGTCTAGTCACTTATATTGTTGCTACTGTTCTCATTTCTAATTGGCTCATCCAATTCAGAAGGCAGATGAATAAGTTGGACAATCAAAGCAGGACAATGGTATGTATTTCCACCCGAAATCCTAACTATTATTACCAGCAACTACCCCGGGTCTCAGTGAAAATTAAAATATTTGTAGAATTCTTATAAGATTTTTATAAGATTTTGAATTGGTACTTAAATGATGTCAGATTTTTGAAACATTTTGTAAGATTTATGATTTTCTTATAAAATTTTGAATTGCATGAGCCATCAATTGAAAACTTGGAAGCAAGACTGGCACGTTTTCACCGTTTAGAGCGTTTTTTGAGCAATTTGAGCGTAACCGGCTAAACAAAACGCTCAAATTTTGATGGCGTTTTTCATTATTACTCTAAACATAAATTTGTTAGTTTGTTTTCTCTTTCAACATGTTTTTCATTTATCTTCAATTTTTTTGTTTTCAATACTTTTTGGCTTCATTTTTTCAGCCATCCTCCTTTTACCCCGTAATTTGCCAAAATAAAAAATTTTTGCCAAAATAAAAATTTAAGTTTTTTCTACAAGACTTTCAAGTAGCAAAATTCACAGTTTTCAAAAAAAAGTAATTTTTTTTTGGGTTTCGCGTTAGTTTTTTGGCTTCATTCTTCGGCAATTCCCATTTTACCCGTAATTTGATAAATAAAAAAATGTAAGAAGTTTATAAGATTTCAAATTCTTTCTTACAAATATAAATTTCGAGTTGCTCTATTACACGGACCAAAAAGTCAAAATTTTGAAGCAAGATCGGTTTCAGCTTTTTCGAGCGATTTTTGAGCTTTTCGGTTGTAAACGGTTAAAGAAAAAAAAGCTCAAATTTTGAGGGGTTTTTGGAACTAAATCTTACCCCGGGTATTGAATCGAACCCAAGGCTTCTCCTGATAACAAGTCATTCGGGTTGATCAAACTTTCTTTCACACAAGTTTTCATGTATTAAAAACTTTTTATCATACAATTCATTATAATTGTACGTACAAAAAGCTGATATGAATCTCCATGATAAACATTTTTCCCGGATCTACTTAACAATTCCCCCCCCCCCCTATGGTACCTACTTAAGAATCCCCCCCCCCCTAATTTACATGATCATTTGCTAAGTTCATTTTACGTGCTTATTTGCTAAGTGTAACAGCTGTTGACAATTAGAACTTTCTCGGTTTCAGAATTTGTTGCATTCTGATTGGCTGAAAGTTCGATTAATTTGCTAGCTAGTAATTTGCTAGCTGAACCTACTTAACAGTTTCCCCCCTTTTGTAATAGGGGGGGGGATTTTCAAGTAGATCCTTTTTCCCTAATAAAAACAAATAATAACATAACATAACACATATAAAGAACAGGAAATATCAAGGATTTGTGTTGAATTTTTCAGCTCGTTGAGAGAAGCCGTGCAAAACCTTGAAAAAATCACTGGAGCATGGGAGTATGAATGTGCAAATGGTTTTAAAACAATAAAACCAATGAGTTTTTTTGTTTTTATCAAGGTTTAGAACGCTTTTCTTTGAACGCACAATCCTAAGTTCATTTTCATCTATTCAACCAAAGTTTTTGGTAAAATCTCAAAGTAAGCTAGAAAATTATAAAATTTAGTTATCGTCTCATCAAACGATTTGTTTTGGTACTTGTTTGCCTTATAGGCCCATTCAACATTTTTTGAAACGAGCGTGAGTAATTGGTTTAGTTTGAGGTTGAAATCAACACATTGATTTCTAAATTCATCAGTGGTTTTTTTCAGCAAATGATCGAAAAATAAATCATGAATCCTCATAGTTTTTTTATAGTTTTAAAAATATTTTCCCAAATAAGGTTATATCAGCGATTGAATATGATTGTTTTAGCAGTTCTTTTTTGCCTCAACAATTTTTTTGGAGAAAAGATTTCACACATTCCTTAATTTTCGAAGTGTTCGGGGAACAAAACTTTTCCCCAAAAAGAAAAACAAATTGGGCACTTCAAATTTGAGTTAGGACCGAAGTGTATAACTCATAGAGTAATTTCGGATAGGGTACACCGTCTGCTCGTCACGCTATCTTATTTTCGGCCGGATAGATTCGTGCAACTTCTTAGTCTAATACCAATCCTAATCTTACTCTTATACTATCTAGTCTCAGGTTGTTTAACTAGTCTCTGCTAGGCTCAATAGATCTAGGGTATACTGGTTTATTGCGGCTGCTGAAGTCTTCTTGGAGAGTCAACTAATTTCTAAGTTAAATTCAAATCTCTCTGGTGCTGAAATTACAAGTAATTTCAGCACTTACAAATAAGTGGGTTGTTAGTTAGATGGATCATGATTGGTTAATATTAAATACTTTACAGTGGTAAAATATCTAATTTATCCAATCATAAAATGTAGTTTAGATCAGGTTCCACCCATCCGGGTTTTACAGAGTTTTTTAGAATAGTCTTTCTGCAATTCAAAGGATGGATGATGGACGTTGGTATTTGGCGAACATCTTATTTCTTCTGGGTTTTCTTATTAGAGAAGTCCCAGATTCAACCGTTGTGTCTTCTCAAGACAACGACTGGGTTTTCGCTACAAACTCAAATCTGATTTCAGAATGGTTGGCTATGACAGGTTTTTCCGTTTCATGTAGAGAACTTCTTTTGTGTTTGACCTTGTCTGGGAATGGCGTAGAGATTGTGTGTGGAGGGGATGCCTGGTTACTCGGATCTGTACGTATACTTGAACATCGAGGTGGTCATTGGTCTAGTTCAATGAAGTCCTTTTCTGCGAAGTCAAGTCGTACTCTAAATCCTTTGAGTTGTGATTGTGGGCGGCATATTGATTGTGGTTGGCCATTCTTTTTCGAGTGTAGTGGGTTCATTTTGTCTTTGGATGTTCGTCTTTGGTGTTGTATGCTGATCTATATACTGCAAGGTATAATTTACATTTTATAAAATTTTTATTAGTTTGGTGTTTAATTATGATTTCGGTTAGTTGTTTTCACAAAAGCTTTTTGTTTTAGTTCGGTTATTTTGAAGAGTTACTCACCCTTGAGTAGCTCTTATTAAAAATAGGAGTGTGTGTCACAAAGCGTGGATGTAGCGCGGTTGGTTAGGCCGGCTATAGAGCATGCTCAGGACGTCCTCTTCTGGTGGGTTAGGCCAGGAGTGGGAGTATGATTGCATGCGGTTTTTGTGAGAGGTCCTGTTATGTGACAACGTTTTATGTTGGGTTTGTTGTGGTTTTTCTTATGTTTTGTTGGTTGTGTCCTTTTTTCAAAAATCAAATTGTTTTTGGTATGGGTTTGTCTTTCGACTTTTTTGTGTTTTATTATTTCTTTCTTAGACTTTATAATAGTCTTCAAAAGAATAAATTATCCAGTTTTAAACTGGGTTAATCCGGTTTGGGTACCGTTGGTTTCCTTTTCTTAGTCATGCTGTTATTCTATGATTTGTGGTGTTTAGTAAGCTACGTTGGTTAGTGTTGTTTAGTATATAATTCCTTTTCAACCGGGTTAAGGGAAAGTTTGAAACGTGTTATCTTGTGTTAGAGCTGTTGTGTGTGAAAGCTTGAAACTGAAATTCATTATTTTAAACAATTCTTCGTGGGCGAGCTGTGCGAGTGTGGATAGAATTTTTGTGCGAATGAATGGAAATATCAAAAGGTTAGTACTGCATTTTCGTTTTATCAATTTATTACATAGAAATGCAAATTTACTGCTAGTTGTTGGGGAGAATTAAGTTACAAATTTTCATCATTATTAGATTTACTGCATTTGGGAAAAAATTTATAAATTAAATTACTGCATTGGTATTATTTTTATTTAATTGTTTGGTGCAAAAAATTAATAGAGTTTTTAACAGTATGAAGAAGTTTTCAATTTTTATTTTTTTTTGTGAATTTTTCAGATGATCGTTGGATGAAGGCTAAAATTCTAAAGAAGACATGAATAAAGAATGGTTAGTTTCTAATCTTAATTTTATTAGTTAATAATATGTATAATTCATATTTACCTGTTAGTCGTCGGGGAAGAAACCGTGGGGGAAGATGTCGTGGATGAGATCTGAAGTTGTTAGTAATTTAGCTAAGATGCGGATGATATTTTTAGTTTGAAGCAGTGGCCAAAGCAATTGAAGTGCTTTAATGGTGGTTAGTTCTTCAGTGCCAACTGCAAACTCATAAGGTGTGTTTTGGATTAGATTATATAATTTGTGATTGAATTTAGTGTTGTGGATGAATTCTAAAATGGGGATTTCTATAGGTTGAACAAATTCGTGTGGGAGAAGGAAGGGTCGGGATTCTTCTGCGTTGAAGGTCTTGGTGATGGGACAAAAAATATACATTTGGGTTATGGGATCATAATTTCGAAGAATACCATGAAGGTTAGTATCTTTAATGCAATATGTGAAGTTAAGAAAGAATGGTGAGGTGTATTTGGAATTGATGAATTGGAAACGGTGGTGTTGTTGTCTGGAGGGAGTGTGTAGGTCGAAGTGATTTTGGATAAAACGATAATATGTATATGTGTGAGTTTGTTTAGTGCGCAACATAATATCGTGTGAGCAGTGCAGATCTCTTTCATTTGGTGCAAGGAAATGAAAGGTTAGTGAAAATATTTGGAAGCGTTCTTTAAAACTTTCGTAGGCTTGCGTGTCTATTAGTGCTTCTGAAATGATGTGGTCAAATTTGCGATCAAAGATATTGAGTGTAAATACATATGGTGTTTTAATGAAAAATTTTTCTGTGATTTGTGGGTTAGCGAAGCGGTCATCGTCTAAGAATTGATCTTGGTTAGTTCTGATGATGTTATGATCGTAATATTCTAGCGTATATTCGTTAGCTCGGGGTGCAGTGTATGTTTTTAGTGACTTTTTATATCCGATGTAAGTAAATTGTCTAGGTGTTAGTGGTGTAGTGAGTCGATATAGCCTGTCCTTATTTCGTTCTATATCGATGTGAGTGTTAGATAAAGGTAAGCAAAGGGGATTAGTAAAATGATAATATGAGGTCCAAGGAAGGGTAGGCATTAAAATGTGTTCGTCTACAAAGTTACGTGTTTCGTTAGTGTCGTGAGGGGTGTTTAAGGTGTATTGTGGAAATG